CCTTTTGAAACAGGGTCTTGCCATGTAACCCAGACTGATCACAAACTCGTAAGTCCTCTTGTTTCAAGCCTCCCTAATGCTAAGATTGCAGGTGTGTTCCTCATCTTGGAGACTACACTTCCATAGAACTGGCTGGACCAGACACCTCTCATTACAGATAGGCTGGTCACAGACTTGAGTATGTCAGGGCAGATAGAGAGACCTTCAGATTTGCAACCCTGGAGGTAGGGCATCCAGAGCTGGGATAGCACCTTGTTGGAGCACTCTGCCCTGGGCTCTGCTCAGCTATGGATTTGACCCAAATGCTCAGCCCCTGGCCTCTGTCCTGTGTTCCTCACCTCCAGAAAGAGGCCAGGCTAAGGGAAGAGGGCTGGGATTGGCTGTGTGGACCATGGGAAGAGCTGCCCAGGCTGGCCTGGCTGACTGGCAGGTGTCAAGTTCTCTGAGAGAAAGGCTGGTGAAGTTTCACTTTGCAGAGGCTCTGGGAGGGTGGGAGGAGCCTTCTGCGTGGCCTAGAGTGGCCTAGAGACTGTGCCGAGACCCCCATTACTTCCCATGGCTCTGTTCTCTTCTGCCTCGGCAGAGGACTTCGAGATTTTTTGGCACTCTGATTTTATTGTGGACCAGGAAGAGAAAGAATTTAGTTACTAATTTCTGCCAGGGACAGAGTCCAGCTTCAGGAGAGAGGAGGGAAAAGGGCAGCTCTGTCCCCCATGCCCTGTTTACTCCGTTGCATTTCAGGTGACTTCTGACCTTGGCACAGTGCTGGTGTCTGAGCACTGTGTGCACAGGTCTGATGGGGTAAGTGCAGCTGGGGAACTCTTCCCACTCTCCCTGACTCATTTGTAAGGACTGGCTGTGGGCAAGCCCCTCCCTAATGCCCTGTGGCCTTGTCAGGGGACACCTGCCTATGAGATCACCCTACCTGAGGCTCAGGACAGATGCTAGGTCACCTAACTGTACACCTTAGATGTTAGATTAGCTCTCATTTTACAGGTATGGAAACAGAGTCCTGGGGTGGTGAAATGGCTTTCCTGCCTTGCATAGCTATCTGTGTTGCCAAAATAGAACTACATCTTTCTGGCTGGCAGTTCAAAAGTATTTTCCAGAATTTTTGAATGGTTGCAAATTTCCTGGTTTTAGTATTTCAACCTTGGAAGTGTTAAGTTCTCTGAAACCGAAGTATTCTTCTTGTGAAATAAGAATATGAATACCAACTCTGTATGGCAGACCTTTATTAAGAAGGCTACAAAGCTCCTGGAATGTGCTAAATGTCCCCTGGGCAGTTGGTAGGGTCAGCTATTGTCATCACTGTCCCTGTGGATGGAAACAACTGTCCAGTAACCATGGGACAGCCTTCCCTATGCAGCAGATCTGTGGCACTGACCTCCCTCACCTGTTGGGGCCAGCACCTGGGAAGGCGTTTACATTCTTGGCATTCTTCTTGCCACTGGGGGCTGCTGGGATCTGGTAAGAGGCTGTGTAGATAGGGAGAGGAGAAGCTGAGGAGAAAGGCAGGGTTGATCTCTCCAGCCACTGTGTTAGGACAGGAGAAAACTTCTCCCAGGTTCCCTCCACCAAAGGCCCTTCATACCCTTTATCCCACAGGGCTTCCAAGTTGTTGGTTGTAGGTTTTTGTGGTCCTTAGGATGGAATTCTGGAACATTCTGCATGCTAGGTAAGCACTCCACCACTGAGCCATACCTGGAGCCTAAAGTCAGTGGTATTAAGTTCCTTCTGTGAAACAGGTATGCTAATTGTACCCCTATCACCCACTGATTGAAAGGGGGGTTGGCGTGCATGCGGCAGTCACGAAGGCTAACTGCAATTATGAACTATAGATGTGGAAACTAGAGGTCAGTAGGCCGACCTACAAACAGGCTGAAACCGGCCTCAAACCCAGGTCCAGCCGACCTCCCAAAAGCTAGATCACTGTGGAACCTGCCAGGGTTCAAGATAGCCATGTTCAAATTCCCAGCCCCATGGGTGGAAGGCTGCTGCCTGTCTTGGCATGGAGAGCACACTGTGTGACCGTGGGGGGCAGCTGTTGTCAGCAGTGAAGTCTGGTTGGGAGGCCCAGGTGCCTGGAAACAAACGCACGTGTGTGTTGACTGTCACCAGGCTGACCGGGAGACCTAAGGGGTACTGCAGCCTCAGGTTAGGCTGTCTAGGACTGTCGGCTGGCCAAGGTGAGGTTCAGGCCAGCCCGAGTCCCCGTCACTAGATTGGAGAGAGGAGGGGAGGGGAGACCAGTGCTGTCTCCAGGGACCGCTTGCTGTCCCTTTCTCGATCCCCTTCCCCCAATCTCTAGCATTTGTTTTCTTCCGAAGCCGCACTGGGCTCTTAGACACCGCAACAAAAGCAACCTTCCTCCAAGCCACTGCCACCTGTTGGGGCGAGTGGGGGGAGGGAGCCGTTGCCCTTTTCCCAGTGTCTCTGGTGTGCCCCCGCGGCCCCCCCCAGGGCCTGGGATTCTCTTTGCTGCCCGGTTGTGACAGGACTCTGGAGCAGGAGGAGGTGGGGGGCCAGCAGCAGCTGGAAGGGGAACTGAGTGGGAAGGGGCCGGGGCTGGCAGCGGGGGCGAGTTTGATGGATTACTCCTCGGGCCCAGAGGTTTCTCCCTAATCCCCCTTTGTGTCCCAGCCTGCAGCCCCTCACTCTCCCTGACAAGCTGCTGAGCAGAAGGCTTCCAGTCTGAGGGAAGAAAAGGCAGCTCAGCAGGGTGAACTCTAAATCCCTGGCCTCCCAGCCACGGGGGAGGCAGGAGCTAGGGAACCTGCCCCGGGTGGGGCTGGGTCCCCCTTCCCTCCGCCCAGCCGCTGTTCTTTGTTAGGGTTCCAAGTGGGGAGGTTGCATTGTAAGGGGGGTCCTCGGATGCTTGTGAGCTCGTGCTGTTTGTGCAGTCGCTGTGGAGTTTTTCTCGAGTGGGACAAGGGATAAACAGACCCTCCCCGTTTGGAAATAATTAGTCCCAGAAAACCAAAGACTTGAGTGCTAGGTTGGGAGGTATCAAAGTTCAATGTTGCATGCTGCCCCTACCCCCGCCGCCGCCCCCACCTCAGCGGCCCAGGTAGAAATTTCCACACACCTGTGTGAGGTCTGTAAGAAGGGCACAAAGAGCAAACTTGGCGCCTCAAGCGCCCCCCCCCCATTTTTTGAGGTGTCTCCAAGTTTCTTTATGAAGCTACCATGCAGCTGCACCAAGTTTTCTTAGGCAAGGCTCAGGGCATTGGTCTCCTGGGACTGAGGCAAGGGTATAAGGGTATGGGTAGTAGGGTGTTACGCTGGGACCCCCAGAGGGTCATCTTGCTGCCAGTCTCCATGGTGTGCTCAGTGTGGAGCAAAGCATTGAATTCAGCCCACTTTGGAGGAGCAGGGATTCCCCACTACCCTTCTCGCTGGCCTTGCCTGGGGTGAGCCAGGGAGGTTGACTGGGGTGATCACCCCCCTTTCTTTGGCTGTGCCTTGGTGCGGGACACTCCCTGCCAGGTTTCTTTCTCTGGGAAGGTCAGTGGGTTGTGGTGAAGGATTGGGAAGTGTGTTCTGAGCTTCCAGAGGAACTCAGTCTGTGAGAAAGCAGCCCTCTTTGTGAGTGAGAAGGGAGGACACAGGGTCGCAGAGCCTGCGGGGTCAGTGTGGGGGCTGAGGCCGTTTGATGTGCCTGGGCGGGGTGTGGGGACGCCGGCATGCATAAAGACGCCATAGAATTGCCGTCTGACAGTGGCGGGGCGGGGCCTGTCCCCAGACTCTGCTGGCTGTGGTCTCTCTGTGAGCAGAGGGTCTCTGCTCCCCCTGCTCCACCTCAGCCTCGTGGGGTGGCAGGAGCCCCTTTGAAAGCCCTCAAAGGCCCCTTTATGTGGCCTCTGATCCTTCCCTCCCTCACTGAGCCATGAAGGACAGGGCTCACTTGGGTCACTTTCCTGCGCTTGGCCTCCACTCTGTCTTTTGAGGTTTGGACAAAGCTCAGGCCAAGTTCGTTCTGTGACTCAGTTTCACTTCCCTAGACTGCCTGCCGGGGGTGAAGTGGAGGCACTCTGGGCCCTCCCCGGGGTTCCGGCAGGCAATCTCTTAGGTGAGCTTGGGAGGAAGCTCTCTGCGGCATCCGTTCATTCCTTTGCATGCACATTTGCCAGGTCCCTAGTCTTGCTGGGGTGTGTGTCAAAGAGTTGCCTGCCCTGGGGCATGGTGCTACACCTCGAGGTTCATAGAAGTGTTAGGAGTCCAGGTCCCCACCCTGCCTTCCCAGACTTTAATTTTAAACCCCATAAGGATGAGAAAGCATGGTTTAGGGGAGAGCTCTAGAAGGGTCCTCCGAAGGGTCCCAATGGTGTCTTCTGGCTTTCTAGCTGTCAGGTCACGAGGACCCACTGCAGGGGGGGGGCTTGAAGCTTGAGAGGAACGGGGGGGGGGGGAGCTTGAAGCTTGAGAGGAACATCCGCACCCGCAAGGCTGCTCAAGCTTGTCCTTCCTCCCTTGACCTGGTCAGCCTTCCTCTTCCTGCCACCCCCTCTCCAGGTGAGCAGCTGGCTCTGCCGCCAGATCTTCTGTTTGGCAGACTACTGTTTCTAGAAGTAGTGGGGAAAGAATCTGAATCCGAAAACCTCTGAGATGGGAAGGGGATGGGTTGGGGGAGTGAGGTCCTGCCACCCTGCCCGTCCGTGTTCCTTAACTCCTGGAGGATGAAGAAGCCTGAACTGCACGGGGCAATCGTGCTCTGTCTCTTTCCAGCTTTGATGAGAGCACACAAGCCGGTTGGTGCAGCCACCAGAATGGTGCTGGGTTTCCGTCTCGGTACCCAGGGCAGAGGGTGTTGTGGGTAATTCTGTCAGTTGGAGTCAGTGCATGGGGGGTCTGTAGTAGGGTTGGCAGACCTAGAGCAGGAAGGCTGCTGAGGAGGGTGGGGCATTGGGAATAAGAAAGTAGGGCTTTGGGGAGGAGGTTCTTTGGGGCTTAGAATGCCTTGGATAGTTTTGGGTTCGGGAAAGTTGGGCTGTCCAGAGTGTGTCTACTTCCAGGGCAGAGAGGTATGAAAAGAGGGGAGGGCAGGCTCAGCAACCAAAGGACAGGAGCCTGGGAGACTGTCTACCTTTCACCCCACTCATTTCCATGGATTGTGTGTGCCCCTGGTCTGAACCCCAGACTCCAGGCAGAGAACCTCTGTGGCGTGCAGAGAGGCACCGTGGCTCCGAGGCTGCCTGGGTTGTAGGGAGATGGGGGAGATGCCCGTGTTCCTGTTTTCCGGTAGCCTAAGAGCTCCCCATTCCCACTCACAAAAGTGACCAGAGGACTGAGGGAGACTGCCTTAGGGAGGGAGGCAGGTGGAGTGACCTGACTAATGGAGAGAGCAGGACTTGGAGAATGAAGGCAGGTTTATGGGTGAGGTTGGGTCTGGCAAAGTCTCTGTTTGCTCAAGGAGGACCAGGTCTCTTAAACCCAGTGCAGGAGAGTGCCCAGTCCCTCCCAGGCCGAGGGTGGGGAGTGGAATGGTTAGAAGTCTTTTACCCCAGAACCTGCCCCTCTAGGCTGGGAAACTTTGCCTCTGAATCACGAGGGAAAGGGCAAGGGTCAAGTTGAACCCACAGTAGCCCAGCTAACACTGATGACTGTCCAGTGCCTCCGCGTCGGGACTGCGTGGGTCAGTATTTTATCTTCCTTTCTTATGCCACCCTCTTATAAGCCCTACCCCTTACCAAAGTGTAGGGACTTTGGGGAGGGAGCTGCCAGTGCCCAGATTTACCTCAAGTCCTGTATTTTCGGGTCTTGTAGCAGCTGAACCCCAGAGAGCCTATAGGGAGTAGATAGACCTTCCTAGGGTGGATGCTGTCTGGTCTCTCTGAGGGACGGCTTAGCACCTACTGCGTGCTTTGTGACCCCCACAGGGCCTGGTGTTAGTGGAGAAGATAAAAGATGAGGGAAGACGAGGGAGTGCCTTTTATTAGGAGCTGGTAATGCTGACAGGGGATGTGTGGAGGGAGCTGTGTGTGTGTGTGACTGCTTCAGGATTAAACCCAAGGCTTTGCAAATGTTAGGCAGGTACTCTATCACTAAGTTGCACAAAGCCCTTCCCTTATTATAGGGGCTCACTATGTAGTTTAGGCCGGCCTCAAATTGATGATCCTCTTGCTTCAGTATTGCAAGTGCTGGGACTGTAGGACTACCCACCATGCCCTAGTTTCATCGTTTGCACAGCAGGCAGCAGTGGTGCCATTGCTGGAAGCAAGACCTGGTGGTGACTCGCTCCGTGGACCCAGTAACTATGAGGGTCTGTGCTATATGCATTTGTGTGAGCGGGGGCCCAAGGTCAGCTAAGGAGTGATGCGTCTCACTAACTCAGGGCTTGTTGATGTCATCTCAGATGCTACCCATTAATACATAGGATGAGATCTAGGATCCTGTGCTGTGAGGCTGGGGTTTAGGAATGGTCCCAGCTGCTTGTGACAGTTGGGCAGTAATATTTGGCCTGCACTCCCCCCCACCTCCTATGAACTCAAGAAATTCTTGGGCTTAGGTTCACCAAGAGGAACTTTGTGTCTCAGTGACGGGTTGAAACCCCACTTAAGGAACTGTACCCCTCCTTCTTCCCTCTTGTCTCTGTCCCGGGGTGTGTATGGGGGTTACTGTGTGACACGTTTCAGTGCCTGGAAGTCTAGAAGAGGAAGTGGCATTTTATTGTTTTATTTTTTAACAGGTTACATGTACACAATTATGTGTGTGCTGTATGTTCTCGTTTGTTTGTGTGTGTGGAGGCCAGAGGTTGACTAGTGGACATCTTCCTTGACACTCTTCGTTTTGAGACGGAGTCTATCATTGAATAGCACCAATTGGCTAGGCTGGCTGGTCAGTGAGTTTCAGTGCTCTGGCAGACTTCATCCCAGCACTGGGATTATAGACAAGTGCAGCCACACTGGCTTTTCTATGATGCTAGGGATCAGAATTCAAATCCCCCTCTTCCTTCCTTCCTTCCTTCCTTCCTTCCTTCCTTCCTTCCTTCCTTCCTTCCTTCCTTCCTTCCTTCCTTCCTTTCTTTCCACAAGTTACTCTGTGTAACAGTCCTAGCTGTCCTGGAACTCCCTCTATAGAACTCACAGACATCTGCCTGCCTCTGTCTCGGGAGTGCTGGAACTAAAGGCGCTCGCCACCACTGCCCGGTTTCGGAATTCAGATCTGTTTTTGTTTCAGGCACTTTGCCAACTGAGCTTGCCACCCCCTCCACTGCCTGGGAGTATTTGTGTGTGTGGTGTGTGTTCATGTTCATGTGTATCCGATAATCAAGTGTCCTCTCCTCCTGTTCCCTTGAGCCCCTGAAGGTGGGGGCTCAAGGACTCAGCTGGATGGCTTTGGGGTCACCTAGTTTCCACCTCCCAGCCCTAGGGTCACAGATTGGCATTACCAGGCCCAGCTAAGAATCTGCTGGGAATCCAAACTGAGCACCTCATGTTTGCATAGCAAGCGCTTTGCCCACTGAGCTGCCTCTCAGCTCCAGAATGGTCACTTTTAACAGGAATTGAATGGCCCATCTTGGGAAGTTAGATAGAAAAGCAGACAGGTTGGGCCTGGTGGAGGGTATCCAGCACCACCCTCTGAGCTGAGTTTCTCTCCAAAAAGGGCAATTGTGGAGACACTTCAAAAGACAGCAAGTGACATCTGCCTGGCCTTGGGGTGTGCTGAAGTTCAAATGTCATTGCCTCTTAATTATATCAATGCTAGACTAATATTAACATGATCCTCCTGACAGAGTGGCTAGGTCGGGGCAGCCGAGAGTAGGGCCGCCTCACTGGCCTGCAAATGAACAGGGTTCAGAGACCTGGAACATTTCATGTGACTGACCGTCTTGCGCTTCTAGGATCTGACTGATGAGCTGTGTCCCTATCAAGGCACTAGACGATGACGTGTTAGCGTGGGCTGAGATGCTACGCTGGTACCAAAGGGCTGGCAGAAATGGGAGTCGTCTGGCTGAACCCTAGGAAGTTGGTGGCAGCAAGAAGGAGATGCCGCGGCAGGGCTGAGCCGAGGCAGCTGTGGAGTATGTGAAGGGCCCCTGAGCTCCCCCTGCCCTGTCCACCATGATCCAGAGGCTGTGGGCCAGCCGTCTGCTACGGCATCGGAAAGCCCAGCTCCTGCTGGTCAACCTGCTGACCTTTGGTCTGGAGGTGTGTCTGGCTGCTGGTATTACCTATGTGCCACCCCTTCTGCTGGAAGTGGGGGTCGAGGAGAAGTTCATGACCATGGTGTTGGGTGAGTCGCTCCACCTTCCTTCCTTTTGTTCTGGTACCAGGCATCTGGGTGTGGGCAGCAGTTCTCTGCCTGCGGAGTGGCTCAGGGCAGCTGGGTGCCTGGTGGGAGGCATTACCTGTCCTCATTTGCACTTCAAAGGGACAGTCTGCACACAAGGAAAGGGATGCTTAGAGGAGGCTAGTCTGTCTCTTTAGCCCAGTGGTGTCCACTGCTCAGTAGAATTGGGACTTCACTGTGGTTTCCCAGCCAGGGGTCTCTTTCCTGGGCACAGGACAGGTGGTGTGGGTTTCTGATGCTGTGCACAAACTCAGCAAAGCCACCAAAGGCAAGTGGCTTCCCTCCTTCAAGAGAGGATGCCCTATGAAGATGCAGGCTCTGGGTTCTGGCTGGCTGTTGAAACCCTGCTTCTAACCCGCAGCAGACCTGTGCCTTTGTATAAGTGCTGCGCGCCTGCCACTGTTTCCTCATCTGATAACAAGGTGTTTCTAACACCCCATCCTGAGAGGGGCAGAGTCCCTGTGAAGGCCGAGTGTTGTTGTGCCATCCTTCTCAAAGAGCTGGTCCTTCCTCGTTTCGTCCTGACCACTGACTTGTGCCATTTGTCCTTGCAGGCATTGGCCCAGTGCTGGGCCTGGTCTCTGTTCCACTCCTAGGCTCAGCCAGTGACCAGTGGCGTGGGCGCTATGGCCGCCGGAGACCCTTCATCTGGGCTCTGTCCCTGGGTGTCCTGCTCAGCCTCTTCCTCATCCCAAGGGCTGGCTGGCTGGCAGGGCTGCTGTGCCCAGATACCAGGCCCCTGGAGCTGGCCCTGCTGATCTTGGGAGTGGGGCTGCTGGACTTCTGTGGGCAGGTGTGCTTTACTCCACTGGAGGCCTTACTCTCCGACCTCTTCCGGGACCCAGACCACTGCCGCCAAGCCTTCTCCGTCTATGCCTTCATGATCAGCCTTGGGGGCTGCCTGGGCTACCTCTTACCTGCCATTGACTGGGACGCCAGCGCCCTGGCCCCCTACCTGGGCTCTCAGGAAGAATGCCTCTTCGGCCTCCTCACGCTCATCTTTCTCACCTGCGTGGCAGCCACTCTGTTTGTGGCCGAGGAGGCCGTCCTGGGCCCACCTGAGCCAGCGGAAGGGCTGCTGGTCCCCTCCGTGTCATCCCGCGGCTGCCCATGCCGTGTGGGCCTGGCTTTCCGGAACCTGGGAACGCTGTTTCCCCGGCTGCACCAGCTGTGCTGCCGCATGCCTCGCACCCTGCGCCGGCTCTTTGTGGCCGAGCTGTGCAGCTGGATGGCACTCATGACATTCACACTATTCTACACAGACTTTGTGGGAGAGGGGCTGTACCAGGGTGTACCCAGAGCTGAGCCAGGCACCGAGGCCCGGAGACACTATGATGAAGGTGAGTCTTAGCGCCGGTGGGAGCTGCCCTGCAGAGGACAGGTTAGGGTTGGGAGATGCTCACAGCCCTGGCCCTGGCTGGTGACTCTATCCCTGGGCCCCAGCTCCCTGTCAGTAAAGGATAAAGGATTCATCTGTGTGCAGCAGCTCATGGATGTGGCTGCTATCCCTGTGGTCTTAGCAGGGCTTCTAAGTCCACGTGGCTCCAATTCCACCGGGCCTTGTTCCCCGATTACTCTCCTAAGAACTCACACGCGTTCTAGGTCAGGCATTCCACGGAGCTGTCTCAGAGCCAATGTGGGGCCATCTTGTGCTCCTCACGCCCCCCCCCATGCATCTTATCCTTCTTCCTTAGACTGACATAGACTGTCTTCCTCTGCCCTTGGCTAACAGCTCTGGCCACATTCACTGGTCACCATCTAGGTTCCATTGTGGTGGGCAGCTGGGGAGGGCCCTGGGGGGCAGGCGCCCATGGCCACTAGTCTAGTGTCTGGCTGCCCCAGACTGTGTAGGGTTCTTATCCCGCTTCTCCCCTACCCCCAGGCATTCGAATGGGCAGCCTGGGGCTCTTCCTGCAGTGCACCATCTCCCTGGTCTTCTCCCTGGTCATGGACAGGCTGGTGCAGCGGTTTGGCACACGGTCCGTCTATCTGGCCAGTGTGATGACCTTTCCTCTGGCTGCTGGTGCCACATGCCTGTCACACAGCGTGGTCGTAGTAACAGCCTCGGCTGCCCTCACCGGATTCACCTTCTCAGCCTTGCAGATCTTGCCTTACACGCTGGCCTCCCTCTACCATCGTGAGAAGCAGGTACTCCGGTTGGCCGGGCACAGGGTGGGGGTGGGCTGAGCTGGTCGGAATTGTGGCGTCTGACAAGAGACGTTAGAAGAGGCTTGGCTTTCTCTGGCCTGCGGCTCCAGCTGCTGAAGGAGTGTAGATTAGATCCTAGGAGCAACTTCCTGGCATTAGAGCTAGAAAGCCCCTGAGTGGATGATTGCGGGAAGCGCAGAGTCCCTCCCTGGAGTAAGCATACAGCAGAAGCCCGCTCTTCTGAGCTGTATCGCTGTATCCAGAGGTGGGGTCCCTGGCGTGTGGCTGCAGCAGATGGCAGGGGGAACAGCCTGGCCTTAGCTATTCTTTCAGAGAGTTTGGTCAGTCCATACCCTGCTTGCTGAAAGATGGAGAAGGCTTCTTCCTGCCCATCTCTTTCTAGTCTATCATCCCCTTTAACCCTCTCTGTATCTCTGTCCGGCACCCCACTCCCCGCTTTCCTCCTTTGCCTCCATCCTCTCCCTCTTCTGTGGGAGGCCTCTAGACCTAATCAGCGTGCTCTCCTTGTCCCCTGCAGTGGCCTCGCTGAGTTTAGGGACCTGCATTCAGAACGATACCCTAAGGAGCACAAGTTGGTGTAGCTTAGGGGAGAGACTACAGGCCTTCCCATCTAGAGTTTTCGGGTTAGGCCTGGCCACAGCTGGTAGGCCAGTTTGCTCAGCAGTAATTTGCAGGGTGGGAGAGGTGGGCTGGGAATGGGCACCCGGTCCCTTGAGCTTCTGTTGGCTGTCTTGGAGCTCTGGTCTGGTACTTGAAAAGCTTCTGTCCAAAGATCAGGCATGCCATACCTATCTCTCCTCTCTGAGAATCGTCTGTCCCTAGGGACCTCTCTAGTATCCAGCCTTCCTGGTCTTTCCCTGGGTGGCAGGCAGGAGAAAAGGGTCTATAGAAGTCAGTCTCCAGCAGCAGTAGAAGATGGCTTGTCCTGCATCCTGTCTGATCGTCCCTTGCCATTTATTGAGCTATGAGACGGCTTGATGAGTTGTGGGCATCTCTGGCCTGGCCTGGGAGCTCATAGTTCTCTGGTGCAGCCAGCCCCATCAGACTTCTGTGCTCGACACTGCCTGGCACAAGGACCAGCATGGGATGAGACCTCGTCTTGTCCTTCAGTCAGGGGGCCCCAGGCCACTGGGGCCTAGGGTTGATGGGGTCAGGCAGATGTGTGCTCTCTGGTCTCAGGCGGGTTTACAGGGATGAACTGAACAGCTTCAAAGCTAGGCAGCTGGACTGTGGAGGTCACCTCTCCCTTCTGCAGGCCCAATTTTTGTGCCCTCTCTGGTCAAAGGTCAGGATAGTGATGACCTCACCTTGGGCAGTATCTCCAGCCAGGGCCTGAACCCTAGAGCAGAGACAGGACAGAGAAGACCCCCTATGACCCAGGAGAAGAAAGGGTATTCAAGGAGTTGAGGTAGCCTGTGGGGGACTTGGGACTTTAGGAGTGCCTCCTTTGGGTTTTGTTCCTATGGTCTGTGTTGTTCTGTCTGTCCCATTTTTTCTGGAGGCTTCTGCACTTTTCTCAACCTGTAGATCTGAGTTTGCTGACTTCTTCTCTATTGTAAGAAAAGCTAGAGTAGACTTCAGGCTTCAAACTTGGAGGTTCTGCTTAGATCCACAGCAAGTAGGGTTTCCCAGTTTTTGGATTTTTTTTTCTCCTGGAAGCCAGTTAGTTGACTGGTTTCTTAGAGCCCCTGGATCAGAGGCAGCAAGGAACTGTTCTCATATCCGGGAATCCCTCCCTGCATCTGGATACACACCTATCTTTGTTTCCTTTTTGCCGCCCCCCCTCAGGTGTTCCTGCCCAAATACCGAGGGGACACTGGATGTGGTAGCGGCGAGGACAGCCAGACAACTAGCTTCTTGCCAGGCCCTAAGCCAGGAGCACCCTTCCCCAATGGACATGTGGGCCCCGGGGGCAGCAGCATCCTGGCGCCGCCTCCTGCGCTGTGCGGGGCCTCCGCCTGCGATGTCTCCATGCGGGTGATGGTGGGTGAGCTTCCTGATGCCAAGGTTGTTACTGGACGGGGCATTTGCCTGGACCTCGCCATCCTGGACAGTGCCTTCCTGCTGTCCCAGGTGGCTCCGTCCCTGTTCATGGGCTCCATTGTGCAGTTGAGCCATTCTGTCACTGCCTATATGGTATCAGCTGCAGGCCTGGGGCTGGTCGCCATTTACTTTGCTACACAGGTTGTGTTTGATAAGAATGACTTGGCCAAATACTCTGTGTAGAACGCTGTAAGGCATTGAAGAAAGGGCCGGCCTGCCTGCCTCACAGAGTCAGCCTAGAGGGCTGGGAAGCTGGCCTTTCGGGTCTGTTGTTGCCTAAGTGGGGTAGCTCTCTGCTGCCACCCCAAGGCAGCGAGGCGTATAGTTGCACAGATAGAAGCTGGGCTTCCTGCTCTGGCTTTGAGTCTGGCTGGCCTGCCGGCAGCTTCTCCCTTGGGATGAAAATGCAGGCTTGTACAGGTGGTTTCCCCAGGCTCAGAGTTAACAGCTCACCTCCTGGTCGAGTCACTTTGGAAAGATTTGGGGACCTGAATGAACTTCCCTCTAAGTCCCTTGTCCAGATTCTGCCACTGTTGCTCTTGTATGGGAGTTTCTCGTAGGAAACTCTCCTCCACAGGGTTTGACAGGATGGAAGTTGGAAAGAGGAGCCCTAACAGGCAAGATGAAACCCCGTGGTCCACAGCACTGCCTTTCTGCTGAGTCCCCCACCCCAACCTGTTTCGGGAAATGGTTCAGCTTGTTGGCCCTTGTGTCGCCATCATGGAGACACAGGCCTTTAAATATTTAATTTATTTATTTAACACACTAGAAGTAAATTTTGTTCCCAGCCTTTTTATGTTGTGCCTAGGAGTTGAGTAGGGTGGGGGGGTCCCAAAAAACTGGTTCCCCTAAAATACCTGATACTGCCAGACTCCTAGGGTGATAGCTATGGTCCCCAAAACTGCCTGGCCCAGAACCTTGGGCAATCTGTCACCCTAATTGAGAGCCACGACATGTCCCCACTCGAGACTGGGCATTGAGGGAAGTGGAATTGGGCTCAAGGTCTCCACAGCATACCAAGTCCTACTTTCCTCTTGCCCGAGCTTGGCCTCTGACTCCCCACTGCTTTTCCCTCTGAGAGTGGACCCATGAAGCGACCGCCCTTCCAACTCTGTCCGCTGGCTCCATGACCTCTCTGTGGGGCTCTCTGAACCCTAAGCACAAGTGTGGTTCCTTAGGCCTCTGCTCATGGAAGCCTCTGGGGCATATCTGTCACAGCCTGGGGAATCTCACACAAACTCAGGAGTACTCCCTGCCAGAGCCAAGGAGCTCTTGTCCAGGGGGTGGATTTCAGTGCAGATTGCAATAATGTTGTGTCTTATTTATTTAGCAGAGTAAATATTTTATACTGTATGTGAGAAATCAGAGTATAACGTTTATGGTGATGAAATTAAAAGCTTCTTCTATGTTTACTTGTTGTGTGTTTGTCTTTTCTGCGTGGGAAGGGGTCGGTGCTAAGATCAGCATCACTCTGTCCCTGGGGACTCTTAGCTTTGGCAGCATCAGTTCCACTTTTGGCCAGCAGATGGCACCATGGACCATCACCCAGGTACAGCCACTGGGGGCTGAGAAGAGTCTTAAGAGCATCACGGTGCAGTTTTCTTTCTCAAAAGGGTCACAGAAGGTGGAGCATTCACGGCAAGGACACTGGAGTGTAGCTGGCACACGGAAGCAGGATTCCAGCCCTAAGGTGCAGTGACATGGTCCTTTCACATCGTACTGTTCACTGGGGCCTCTGGTCAAGTTCAGTCCTTCCTGCCTCGAGCTCTCCAATCCTGACTGGCCTTCCTGTTCCTGGTTCTCTCAGTGGTCAATATGTTGATACCCATGAAAGGGTTCATTTGACTTCTGGAAATGTTTTCCATGGGGCTGGACAAGAGGTGGGCTTGGTCGCTAAAGAGAACACACTGTTCTTGCAGAGGACCCAGGTTCAATTCCCAGCACCTGTATCGGGCAGCTCACAGCTGCCTGTGAGTCCAGTTGCAGGAGATCTGACACCCCTCAGATTTCCTCTCAAACCCAGACATGCGTATGTGCACATGCTTATGTGCACATAAACAATAATATAATGTCCAAATAAATGTCCTCTGCATTAACGTAATTGTGAGAATTGTCAAACAGCCCCGAGTAGTTTGTCTGACATAACCAGAGACCAGCTTCCCAACTCAAACCCTGCGATTTTCCAGCTCCTTTCCAGGGGTTATTTTTAAGAATTATACGCCAGACCGTTTCATTTCACCTGTAAAACTTTGGTATGCAGCTCTAAGAAATAGGGCTTTGGCTGGAGGGATGGCTAAGAGCACTAACTGTTCCTCCAGAGAATCAAACTTCCGTTCCCCAGCACCCACAAACGCCTGTGATTCCAGCTCCAGGGGATTGAACACCCTTTCCCCACCTCTGCAGGCACCCACATGCACATATGCCGCGCGCACGCAATTTAACAATAGGCTTGTTTGGGGCTGGAGAGATGGCTCAGAGGTTAAGAGCACTGACTGCTCTTCCGGGGTTCCCAGAGTTCAATTCCCAGCAACCATATGGTGGCTCACAACCAACCTGTAATGAGATCTGGTGCCCTCTTATGGCCTGCAGGCGTACATGCAGACAGAACACTGTATACATAATAAATAAATCTTTTTAAAAAATGGGCTTGTTAACTACTTGACCATAATGCCATGTTATTCAATGAAGCATTGACTAATCACTAAGTATTCAGATCATGTACAGCTTTCCCCAGCTGCCAAAGGAGGGTCTTTTCCTGTCCTTCTTGGGTGTGGTTTTGAATAGAATGGTCCCCATAGCTCATATATTTGAATACTTAGTCATCATTGAGTGTCACTACTTGAGAGGAATTAGATGTGACCTTGTTGGAGTAGGTGTTGTCTTATTGGAGAAAGTGTGTCACGGGGGGGTGGGGGTGGGGGGGGTGGGGGGGGGAGGAGTTGGGGGATGGGGTAGAGACTTTGAGGTTTCAGAAGCTCAAGCCAGGCCCAGTATTGCTCTCTTCCTGCTGCCTGGGAATCTGGATGTAGGACTCTCAGCACCATGTCTGCCTGCATGCCGCCATGCTCCCTCCATGGTAATGGACTAATCCTCTAAACCTGTGAGTGAGCCCCAGTTAAATGCTTTCCTTTCTAAGAGCTGCCTTGGTCAAGCTGGGTGATGGCGCATGCCTTTAATTCCAGGAGACAGAGACAGGCGGATCTCTCTGAGTTCAAGGCCACCCTGATCTACAGAGTGAGTTCCAAGACAGGCTCGGAAGCTACAGAGAAACCCTGTCTCTAAAAAAAAAAAAAAAAGAAAGAAAGCATAAAATAAGAGTTGCCTTGGTCACGGTGTCTCTTCATAGCAAGGGAACCCTGACCACGGCAGTTAGTTTGAATAAGGCCTCATTTTATATACATTGTTTTAGCTGTTTTATCATCTTGTTTACTGCGCTCCTGAGTGTCCCCTTGTTTTATTCTTTTTAAGCTACCTTTATTTAAGAGCAGTGGGCTTTTCCTGCAGTTTTGTCCACATTCCCTTGGGCTGGCTGTTTCCTTGGTGGCACTTAAGATAGCCCTCTTTTTTTTTTGTGGTGCTGGGAACTGAACCTGGGGCCTTGGGCATTCGGGTGAGTGCTCTGTCACGATGCCACATCCCCAGCCTGGAGATGTTCCTTTCTCCCCCATCCCCTCAAGCTGCTAACAGAGAGGCTTGACTAGATTCAGGGTTCACTTAGGTAAGACTGTGTTAGAGTTGGGGCTGCGTCCTCCATAGGTATACAATACCTTTCTGCCCCAGTTGTTTTGGTGTTAATCTTGATTAGTGGCTGGGTGGTGTCAGCCGATCTATGCGATAGACTTTCCCATCAGCCTTCCATCTAAGCCATTAGTGATCATTGCCTAGATCTCATTTCATTAGGTGTAAAATTATACGCTTCAGCCTGTCTGTCTGTCTCTGTCCTTCTGTCCTTTGCTCCCCTTCTGTGTGTCTGTGTCTGTGTGTGAGTGACATTAAGTTTCAAACCCGGGACAAACAGCTGAGGTGCCTAATTATATCAAAGCAGACGCTGGCTGCCAGGTTCTCCCAGCATCCCTCAGTCCCTACCTGTTACAGAGTGTGGTTGGCACACCCCACCATCTACCCTGAACTCCACAGCCCATAGGGTGGGCTGCCCTTTCCCTTTTGGGCCTTTGTCCCCCTGGTTGCTGCACCTACCACCCCTCTCCACCTGTCTCCCTTCCCCTCCCCCTCTCCACATGGCCCAGCTCAGTCTGGTCCAGTCCACTCTGGACTCTCTCAGACGTCTCTGCCTATACTCTCCCACATGTCTACAAGCTTTCTCCTTCACCACACCTAGGAGCAGTCATGTCCTGTCCTTTCCTCTTTCTTTCTTTCTTTCTTTCTTTCTTTCTTTCTTTCTTTCTTTCTTTTTTTTTTTTTGGTTTTACGAGACAGGGTTTCTCTGTATTGTTTTGGAGGCTGTCGGTCCAGCCCAGCCTCGAACTCACAGAGATCCGCCTGCCTCTACCTCCCGAGTGCTGGGATTAAAGGCGTGCACCACCACCGCCCGGCTCCTTTTTCTTTTTTTTAAAGATTTATTTATTATGGTTTTTAATATTTATATATTATGTTATTTATACAGTGTTTTATGGCTGTAAGCTACCATGTGGTTGCTGGGAATTGAACTCAGGACCTCTGAAAGAGCAGTCAGTGCTCTTAACCTCTGCGCCATTTCTCCAGCCCTTCCCCCTCCCCCCCCCCCCGGTTTTTTTTTTTTTAATTCATGTGTGTGTGTGTGTGGCTTTTTGAGACAGGATATCATCACTTCGTAACTCAGGCTGACCTGGAACTCACCCTGAAGCCTTGGCTAACCTTATTCTCAATTCTCCAGCTTCCCAGCACAGCAAGGTTTACTGCCACAGCCTGCTCATGATTTTCAACTTTTAGTGTAGCTTCTTTGTTATTTGAGACAAGGTCTCTATGTAGCCTCTGTTGCCTAGAATTCACTCTGTAGACCAGGCTGGCCTCAAACTCACAGAGATCCGCCTGCCTCTCCCTCCCGAGTGCTGGGATTAAAAGCATGCACCACCACTGCCTGGCTCTATAGTCTTTCATTGAACCTGAGTCTCACCATTTTGCCTAGTCTGCCTGGACACTGAACTTCCCGTAATCTGCCTGTCTCTATTTTCCAATTCTGGATTTAGAGGACACACACACACACACACACACACACACACACACACACACACACACACAGAGTTAGAGGTTTTTTTTTTTCTTTCATGTTGGGGCCTAAGTAAATCTCATATTTTGCAATGGATTCTGTCTCTTAAGTCTCATAATCCATAGTTACTGCTTCTGTTTTGTTTTGGGTTTTTTTTGAAATTTGTTAAATAAACTGGGAGACTTATGCTGGAGACATCTGCATTCCCACAGTGACTCATATTTTCACTTGCTTTTGAGACAGAATCTCACATAGCCCAAGCTGGCCTTAAACTCAGTATGTAGATAAGGATGACCTTGAACCTTTTATTATTTTCTTTTTCTTTTTTTTTTTCCTTTTTTTTTTTGGTTTTTCAAGACAGGGTTTCCCTGTGTAGCTTTGGAGCCTGTCCTAGAACTAACTCTTGTAGACCAGGCTGGTCTCAAACTCACAGAGATCTGCCTGCCTCTGCCTCCCAAGTGCTGGGATTAAAGATGTGCACCAAACTGGGCGAGTGCTTTAATCCCAGCACTCGGGAGGCAGAGGCAGGCAAATCTCTGTGAGTTCGAGGCCAGCCTGGTCTACAGAGCAGAGTTCCAGGACAGCCTCCAAAACAATACAGAAAAACTCTGTCTCGAAAAACAAACAAAAAACAAAAATAAAGGTGTGCACCACCACCACCTGGCTGACCTGGAACCTTTTAACATTTATTAATTCTGTGTACATGGGGGAGGTATACTCTGGGATAGTCGGTGACCATTGGCTCCTCCTATCCTACGGGTCCGGGGCATTGAACTCGGGTCATCAGACTTTGCAGCAGGCACCCTCACTGCTAAGCCAATCTGCCAGCCCAACAACAATGAGCTCCTGACCCTCTTGATTCCCCCCCCCCACCTCTTGAGTGCTGGGATTACAGACGGTTGCCACCACAGCTGTTCCTGGTGTGTGCTTGGCAAACACGGCTAGCAACTCAGCCACGTTCTCAGCCCTTATGTATTCTTATTGTCCTTGTGATATCTGCAAGCTGGTGTTTATAGTCAGACTGGATAAGATTTGGTTTGTTTTTGTAAGAACACCCAATTGACTTCTGCACCTCCATGTACTATTTGAGCCACGGCCTCAGCTGTCTTTTTTGTGGAGTGTTAGAAATCACTGACATCTTTACTTAGAATTACTGTAGTTTGGGTTCCCCTTACTGGTATGCTTAGGAACACGTGTTTCTGATTT